CTCAAAGTTTGTAGGTGTTGTTTGGATAGATTTTTTTACTAATTTTTTTTTAATTATTGTTTTTGTCTTTTGTGACCTTTTTTCAACTGTTTGTAAATTTATATATATATTTACATTATACTCGACTAGAAAAATATAAAAAATTCAAAAAAAAAATAATATAAGTCACTCCACCAAAACACATACCACTTAAAAAAAATAAAAAAAAATTAACTACATTAAAAAAAACATTCTCCCACAATTATTCATCAGGAGACAAGGAAAAAATTTCTATATGTTTTGCATTTTTTTTTTTTTTGGTAGGAAAAAAAGTGCACAATGGCTGTTGTTGCATCCCAAGACACCATCCATACCGTTAATGTTTTCACAATCCAACAGCTGATATGAGAATTCTAGAATCATCGGCTGTTTTCTCAAGACAACCCACATTTTCTCTTTCTCATCTTCATTTTCATCAAACCAATAGGCTGAGCATCTCTCTCTCTTTCTCTCTCTCTCTCTCTCTATGTTCATCTATCTCTCCATCTTTATCAAACCCGGTTGGCTGATCAACATTGCCATCATCATCCTAGCTTTACACGGTTGAATCTCTAGCAAAATAACACAATCTTCACCATCTTTCTCTTTCTTTAGATCTCATCTCACCATCATCATCCTGTAAGCTTAGAGTTCATCCTCCTGTACTTGTTCTTAACTTCCAAAGGAAAACTAGATAAACCCATTTCCCTATTACCATTTTCTTGGAGGCCTACCAATCCCATTTCCCCTCTCTGATTTATGTCTACTTCAGACCAAATTAGGTGGAAATAATACAATAGACCCAAAAATCTTTTATGAGATTTTCAAATATTGAAACTCAGTGCAAAACCCAGGAATTGGGTTTGGCTCTCATTTCATTCAAATTTGAAAATAAAAGATGGAAGACTATTAAACAAAAGAGGGACCCTTAATTTGTCATGTAAGCAACCCCCAACAAGCTTTAAAGGTCAATGGAGGTTGAGATGAAGAACAAATTCATCAATCATGCTAGAATCTAGGTGTTTGTTTTCTAAATTTGAACTAGATTGCTTCAGAAATTTATATAAACTTGTGAAATTTGGATTGATTAATCATTTCTAAAATTTGTTATTGACTAATTGTTCCAAATATTTGTGAAATAAATTCTTGACTGATCATTCTGAAATTTGAGAAATTTGTGTCTGGGAAATGTAGAAATTGGTGAAATTTGTTTTGAGAAAAAAAAAATTGAAGAAACAAATGCTATAATAAATAAATGAATTCTATTTGACCAAAAAAAAAAAACAAAAACAAAAACAAAAATAGTGAATTTTGTTTTTAAAAAAAAAACTTCAAACATTTTGGGATTTTTTTTAAGAGAGAGGATGATCTAAGCTTTGGAGCCAAAATCTATTATTTTTGATGATGTGACATGTTTGGCAAATGCCAAACCTCCTACCAAATTTGACAACAGAAATAGCATTTGCTACATTTGGCAGAAGGAATAGCAGGCCATTGGAGACCCCATTTTTTCCCTCTTTCCAAATCATAGCTTTGGCAACTCTTTTAGCAACTCTATTGGAGATGCTCTTATAAAAGTTGCTTAAAATTTTAAATTATATGAATCATGATATTTTCATTAATTTTTATGTGCCAATTTTAAGTGTCTAAATAAGGTGGTGTTTGATAACAAAATTCAACAGTTAAAATTGAATTTATTAATTAAAAATCAATTAAACCTATTTGATAACCACAAATGGTATCCCTTAAAAATTTAAGTGACTCTTAAAATGTAAACTAAAAATTAAAAAAATACTAATAATAAGTGATAGAAAATTTAGTTAACTTTGTCTGAATTTATAAATACTTATACATAAATATCAACATACACTATTATAACCTCACAACTGTCACCATCACCTCTGCCACCACGACCACCATCTTCATTACAATTGTCATTGTTATCATAAGCACCACCATCATTTCACTACTACCTAAATAGTTGTCGTTGTTATTACTACTACAACAACCCTTCATCTACACAATCATTACCATTATTGTCATAACCATCACTATCATTCCACCACACAATAACCATCATCATTTTTTTTAATGACTAGGCATTCGGGTCTACTTATATGCACCTCGACTAATCCCAAAACCCACGTAAAGTGCCCCTCCACATGTCTCAAGAAAAATATGTGAGCGTAGCCCTAAGGAGTTGATAGCACCTAATGGAGGAAGCATACCCCCAGACCCCAAGCTGTACCCACTAGGCCAGCCTCTTGGGGTTAATAACCACCATCATTACACCACCATTGCCACCCTCATTTTATCTCCACCGAAAGCAAAATCTAGATCTCATAGTGCAAAGCAACACATCAGTGAAAAACAATTACTGAAACACTAATTCAGCATTTTTCAAAACACTGATCCAGAGCACAAAAGAAACAGAGATAAATCACAAACAAAACACAGCAGAAACACAAAAAAAGATGAGCAAAAAGAGATTCACAAACAGAGCACAGAAGAAACATCTAAGAAACAAACAACTAACCTCTGATCGAAGAAGATGAAAAGTTCTAAATCCACAAACAGAACACCATCACTGAGATAAATCACAAAGCTGAAGAAGATTTTGAAGGATTCGATTGGTTTTTCTAAGATTGTAGATGGTGGTGCTTAAAATCGAGAGAGAAATAGAGAGAGAGAGAGAGAGAGAGAGAACTTTCAAATCACAATCGCTTTGAGATGAATCACTAAGCTGAAGAAGAATCGAGAGAGAGAACTTCATATTGATTCGATCCTCTAAGAGAAGGAGAGAGCAAAAGAGTGAGTGAGAGATTTGAGTGAGTGATAGATTCGAACTTCATATTATAGACCACGATGCTTAAAATAGGGTTTTCAAAATAAAGGTTCGGAGAGACAAAATAGGGTGTGAAGAGAGACAGGATTTGGAGGCGTTTTCAAACGTCTTCTATTCATAAAATGGGACCGTTTTAATTAATAACAAATGCAACATTTAAAAAATGCCGTTAATTATTAGAAAAAGTGACGTTTAATAAAACACCGCTAATTAAACGCCATTAAATCCTCGATTTTCTGTAGTGGTTTAAGATGATGATGACAATAATGGTGGTAGCGTAGTGGCAACGGTGATGATAATGGCGATGGTAGGGGTATAATAATAGTGGTGTCGGTTGAAGGCATGAGAAATGATCACACCATAATATGGTGCACTCTCTCACACCAAATCTATATTATATGGAGGTCTACAAACCTTCTCACAAGATGAAACGAATAATTTGGAAGTTTGTTTGAATTTAAACACCAAGGGAAGCATTGTGTCTATTTGTAATAGATAATGACTCTAGGTAAAGGAAGTCAAGGTTTGTATAAATAGTTGGCAAAGAGGGTTCTATTTTGCATTGAATACCAACCTACATTAACACCAACTTTTTGTCTCCGGATTATTCCATCTTGCGTGATAAACACCCTCACGGGTATTCCGATCAATTGCCATTGTCAAGTAAACCTTACAGTGGTATTAGAGCTTGGATTACACATTATCGCAGATGTCAAAATACAGTCCGGAAGAACAAAAATTTTCCGAACTCTTTTTACCAAAAATTCAGAAAATTATTGACTGCCAATCTTCGGCATTGGTTAATTCCGCTTGTTTATTTAATCATCACCAATGTGTTGTATTCTTAGAAAACTATCCAAAGAAAATAACCGTTGGTGGTGCTATTGTTCCAAACCTTGCCAAAAGTGAGGTCGAATTGTACCGTTAGAAGCAATTTTATAAAATATTTTTCGGTTCAAATTGTATCTCCAAATTAGCCCCATCTTGTTCTTCTTAGAATTTTGATCACAACGATGCAATTCATTGTGAAAAACAGGAAAAAATTGACCCACAAAGTTCAATTTTTAGTGTTTGGTCTTCGACACCTGTCACCGGAGAAGATAATCGAAGCAATAAAGCCATTGTAGATTCTGTTTTGAAAGATCAGGCATTTGGGCTAAAGACAAAAGGGCCAAAACTCAGAGTTACTAGTAGGAAATCTGTCCCCTTGGGCTTGAAAATTAAAAATAAGTCAATTGGTCCAATTTTGCTAAAAGCCCAAACTAGCCAGGCGCAGCCCACTAGCCCTAAGAAGCAGACAGAGCCCAGCAGCCCAAAGCCACAAGCGCAGCCTGTGCCAGAAACGCAGCCCAGCCCAGAGCACAGACCCCCGTGACCCGCACTCGACTACCCAGCGCGCTGACCCGTGTTCCAGCCAAGGTCCGCGCCCTTCTACTCTGCGCCCAGACCCGCGCCTTGATCCACCGGTTCAGCCCAGCCCTTGGACCGACAGCAGCCTGGTCCAAACGGTTTTTTGGCTCGTTTTCAATCATTTCAAGGCCGTTTTCAGTCATTCAAAAGCCAGAATTTCCAAAATTCTTCTAAGAATTTATCCACGGGTAATTGTACTAAATTTTTGAAAGAAATAATTAGACAATGAGGCTATCCAAGGGTGTTACACAGTAACACATCCAAAGAAAAAATATTTAATAAGCATTGTTGTGTCCCTTAGGCTCGTAACTATTTTTACAATACTCATAAGCAAAGTATTGGGTTTAATAGGCCATTGGGTTTTCATCATTCTTCTTACCCAAGGCAAGACGATCGATTTTTTACCTATCACAAGGGCCGACTCAACAACTACAAGGCTTATCCTTATTAAGACTTGCTGTTGTATTTAATTTTGCTTATTTGTTTATTTTAATTTGTAATATCCACATTTGAATTTTTATTGTAATACATTTTGTTTTTAGTATGGCTATTAAGAATGCCATGGATTCTTTAAGAATTGAGACGCTTAATGGAAATAATTTCCGAGCATGGAAACGCCACATTTTTTATCTTATTACACATGAAAAAAACATTGCACACTTTATCCACTTATAAATCAGATGATGATTCTAATTGGTTTCAAAATAAGTGGATAGAAGATGATGCAATGGCAAAGGCAACTATGTTACATAATATGAAAGACAACATTAGTCCACTTTTTGAAGAGCATGAAACTGCAAAACAATTAATGGAAGCACTAGAAAGTAAATATGGAGTTCGATCGAACACTCAAATTCAATTGCTCTTGGATAAATATAATAAAATTCGTATGAGTGGTAATGATAGTGTTGGTAATCATGTTAATCAAATGGAATTAATTGCTAAAAAGTTATCCAACGCTAATCACCCTTTGTCGGACAAGATGCAAGTAACTACCATACTTAATAGTCTTCTATTGTCTTGGGATCATGTTGTCACATCTCTAACTCATAGCGGACGAGAGATTTCAATGGTAACATTGCCTGTACTCTTAGTTTGGAAGAAGAAAGAATGAAGCGTAGGCGTAAAGAAGGTTTGTCTTCTAACTTGTTGATGGCACAATCTTCACCACAACCACAAAATAATTCCCACACACCATTCAACAAGAAAAAGACTACTTCTTTCAAGAAAAAATGAAAGAAGGGATTTCAAAAAGGATGGAAGAAACAGTAAGAATGGCAAAAACAACATCACAAGCATCAGATTGGCGCATGTTACAAGTGCGGTCAAAAAGGTCATATCAAAGCCACTTGTCCTCAGAAGAAGCAGAAAAAGGATTATAACCCTGTTGCCATGACAGTTTCTGTAGCAATAGTGCTTGAACTTTCATCAAATTCATGGTAGATTGATTCTGCTGTAACTAGGCATATTGTGCAAAATAAAGACATGTTCGTGGAGTTTACTGAAAAGAAGGTTGGTGAACATAGAATCTACATGGGCAACAACTCCTATAGTGATGTTTTGGGCATCGACAACTGTCAATTCTCTATTAATGGAACTTCCATTGTGCTTTATGATGTGCTTTATGTACCCAACATTCGCCGAAATTTAATTTCTGTACCAATGTTAACCCAAAAGGGTTTAAGATTAATTTTAGGTTTAACATAGTATTAATTAAAAAAGGAAGTGTATTAGTGAAAGGTGTAAGAGTGAATGCCATGTACTCTTTTACTATTGATAATAATAAAATATGTATTTCTGATTATTTGCATGTTTCTACTAGTAATAGTTCTTATTTGTGGCATTTAAGGTTAGGTCACATTAATAAAAATAAAATGTCTCGAATGTTTAAAAGTGTCTTATTGCCTAAAGTATGTTCCGATAATTTTGATATATGTGAACCATGTATCAAAGGCAAAATGACTAGCAAGCCATTTTTCAAACATTAGAAATCATCGGAATTACTCAAAATAATTCATTTGGACATTTGTGGCCCTTTAAGAACTAAAACTCATCGAGGCATGGAATACTGGATTACTTTCACTGATGATTAACCAAGATATGGACATATCTACTTTCTTAAACACAAATTAGAGGCAATTGAAAAGTTTAAGGAATATAAATTAAAGGTAGAAAAGCAACTTGGTCGGTCCATTAAACACTTGAATAATGATAGAGGTGGCGAATATGAAGCTATGGGTTTTTTCTGCAAGGACAATGGCATAAAACATTTGTTTACAATGCCATACACGCCACAACAAAATGGGGTCGTAGAATGACGAAATCGTACTCTAATAGAAATGACAAGGTCTATGATAGCTCATGCTGATCTTCCTATTCATTTTTTGGGGGAAGCTTTGCCCACCGCTTCGTACATATTAAATAGAGCCGAAACAAAAGCCAAACCTCTAACTCCTTATGAATGCTGGCATGGTACTAAACCTAATGTTCAAATTCTCAAAGTTTGGGGATGTAAAGCACATGTACTTACTCTCAAACCTTTAAGGGATAAATTGGAAAGTAAAACTTAGAAATGCAAGTTTATTGGCTATGTTGAAAATGGGAGTGGTTATCATTTTTACCATCCCGAATGTGGATTAATAGAAAGTAGAGATGCTATTTTTCTTGAATCCACTGATCTTGCTACTCCTATTGAACAAATTGAATTGCTCTCTGAAGTATCTCAGGATTCTTCTCTTCCTTCTTTGTCACTTGCTCCACATATTCTCCCAGAACCATCTAATAGTGGGAGGAAATGCAAATTACGTGATGTTGTTTTACCTGCTTCGAATCCTGCGATAAGTGGGAGTAAGAGAACAAGACTTCCCTCTACATTTTTGAAAGATTATTATGTTTTTCAAGTTGAAGAACTTAATAACTTAGTAGATGATCCTACTAGATATAATGAAGGAATGAGTTGCAGTGATGCTACACAATGGCTTGAGGCAATGAATGAAGAACTTGACACGATTAAGAAAAATGATGTTTGGGAATTAACCGATCTCCCGAATAGAAGAAAAGCCATTGATTGCAAATGGGTTCTTAGAAAGAAATTCAAAGTAGATGGAATTTTGGAGAAATACAAGGCTAGGTTAGTTGCCAAGGGATTCACTCAATAGCCTGGAGTAGACTTTGTAGATGCATATTCTCCTATTGCAAAATTTGCCTCAATAAGGATTCTAATAGCGGTAGTATCCAGATGGATTTGGAATTGCATCAATTAGATGTTAAAACAACTTTTCTCAATGGAGAATTAAAAGAGGAAATTTATATAATGCAACCTGATGGTTTCCAAAACCAAGGCAACGAGGATAAAGTCTACAAGTTGAAGAAATCTCTGTATGGACTTAAACAATCTTCAAGACAATAGTACTTGAAATTCCACCAAGCCATTTTAGAAATGGGCTATGTTGTGAGTCCATTAGATCATAGTGTTTATATCTGGAAAAATGATGACAAGTTAGCAATATTGTCTTTATTTTTGGACGACATATTGTTAGCAGGAAATTGTCCAGATATGATTATAAAAATCAAAACTTTCTTGGCATCTAGATTTGAAATGAAAGACATGGGTCTTGCAACCTATGTTCTAGGAATTAGAATTTCAGGAGATAGAAATTCAAAATTATTATATCTAGATCAAGAGAAATATCTAGACAAGGTGCTCAAAAGATTTAATATGGATAATTGTAATTCTTTAAGCACGCTTGTTTGCAAGAGACAAAGTCTTAGTAAAAGTATAGTCCTCAAACTAAGTCTGACATTGAAGAAATGAGAAATGTCCCATATGCTCAGGTAGTAGGCAGCCTAATGTATGCTACGACAAGTACAAGACCTGACATCTGGCATGCAGTCGGATTGGCAAATAGGTTTCAATCCAATCTAGGAAAGGAACATTGGCAACAGTCAAAAGAATATTCAGATATTTAAAAGGCACTAAGAATTTGAAGTTATGTTTTGGTTTGTGTGATCTAGACATAAAAGGATACACTGACGCGGATTTTGCAGGAGATGTAGCTAATAAAAAATCTACTAGTGGTCATGTGTTCTTGTTTGGTAGAACAACAGTTTCTTAGTTAAGTAAAAAACAGAGTTGTGTTGCAAAGTACACTATGGAAGCTGAATACATAACTTGTAGCACAGTCATGAGTAATGCGGTCTGGATAAAACGATTTGTTGATAGTTTACAATTAGGTATACTTGCCAGACCAATCAATATATTTTATGACAATCAGCCTGCCATCTCATTAATTAAAAGTGGAGCGAATAGCTCTAAGGGAAAACATATTGATATAAGTTACCACTATATTCAGGACATAGTGGAAAGAGATGAAATTAAAGTCAACTATATACCCTCAAAGAGATGGTGGCCGACCTTATGACTAAAGGGTTGTCTCTGTAAAAATTCAGAGAACATGTAGCTAATATGAGATTGAAAAATGCCTAGCTAGGTCGTTTAGCTACTTATATAAGAGCATAGTCGGATGACTCTAGGGACGCCTAGATAACCGATGTTTTGCAACTCTATCATCCATGGAAACATGTGTTTGGTCAGGTAATAAGATAGAGGAACTGACAAGGTACAGACATCATAGTTAGCATGAGATGTAAAGTCCATGATATGCAACGTGCTGACTAGATGATGTTGTCTGCTTGATCAGCAAAAGGTCGTTGATAAGGTGTGTTAAGGAAAACCTTCATGAATGGGTCTTAGAGGAAGTACTTAACAAAAATTTTGGCTCAGGTCGACAAATGAGGAATGTGTGCGGCTAAAGTCGTCAATGGTGATTGGGTATGGACTATGAACCCAACACTGAAAATTGATGTTGTTCATTTGAAATATAGTGAATTGAAGTCATCTGGAATGTATTGTTAGTGGGAGAACACATTCGTACGAGTGCGGTCAGATTGGTGGCAAAAACGTGCGCACGTATGGCCAAGTCACTATCGGACGTTGATCTATGAGGTATATTCATATATGAAAGTTGGCATGAGGCAAAATTTTGGTACCGAGGTAAACATGCCCAACTCAGGTTTTATCACTAATATTATAATGTGATCAAGTGGGAGATGAAGGCATGGGAGATGATCACACCATAATATGGTGCACTCTCTCACACCAAATCTATATTATATGGTGGTCTACAAACCTTCCCGCAAGATGAAACGAATAATCTGGAAGTTGGTTTGAATTTAAACACCTAGAAGCATTGTGTTTATTTGTAACAGATAATGACTCTTGGTAAAGGAAGTCAAGGTTTGTATAAATAGTTGGCGAAGAGGGTTCTATTTTGCATTGAATACCAGCCTATATTGGGGGTGTTTGGTAGGGCTTTTTTGAGCCAACTTATGGCTTCTGACTTTTAAAAAGTTATTTTGGACTGTTTGGTTAAACTTATGTCAAACAGCTTCTGATTCTAACAACTTATTTTAAGTCAAAAAAGCTGATTCTGAGAAGCTGATCACCCCTTCCTTCTGATTATCAGCTTCTGCTGTGAACATGTTAATTCACGGTTATACTATTAGATTTTTTTATTTTTTATTTTTTTTAAAATAGAAAAGGATCTAAATGGACTATAGAATATTATTATTTTTTTTTATGAGAAATGTAGACAACTAGTGAATAATAAAAAATAAAAATTAATTGAAAAAATTAATTCACAGCTTATTTAACAAGCACTACTGAGCAACTTAAATCTATAATCCAACAGTTACACCAAACAGATTAACAACTTCTGATTAAAGTCATAATCTATAATCTGTTAAGCTATAATTTATAATCTGTTTAGCTATAATTTATAATTTGTTTTAACAGCTACACCAAACAGGACCATTAACACCAACTTTTTGTCTTCAGATTATTCCATCTTGCGTGATAAACACCCTCACGGGTATTTCGATCAATTGCCATTGTCAAATAAACCTTACATTGGTGACAGTTAGGGTAGTGAAAATCATAATGGAATACATTAATATCTACATAGAAATAATATAAATTTAGTCAACATTAAGTATGAACCTCTATCCATAATTATTATTTTTTAAATAACTTTTAGCCTACATTAGAGCATCTCCAATGGTGTTTGCTAAAATAACATTGCCATTGCTACAATTTGGTAATGAATAGTGCTATTTTTTCAAATTATAGCAATGGTGCTCCAATGGTCATATGCTATTTTGGCAAATTTCAACCAACTTTCCCACTAAATTTGTAGGTGTTGTTTGGATATAAATTTTCTAGTGATTTATTTATTTATTTATTTGGCCTTTGTGACCTTTTTCAACTGTTTGTAATAAATAAATAAATAAAGTTATATATTCACATTATACCCGACTAGAAAAATGGAAAAAAATTGAAAAAAAATAAAATTAATATAAGTCACTCCACGAAAAAACATACCACTAAAAAAAATTTATTAACTACATTAAAAAAATACATTCTCCCTTAATTATTCATCAAGAAACAGGGAACCAATTTCTTTTTATTTTGTAATTTTTTTCCTTTCTAGAATCATCGGCTACTTTCTCAAGACAACCCACCTTCTCTCTTTCTCATCTTCATTTTCATCAAACCAGTAGGCTAAGCATCTCTCTCTCTCTCTCTCTCTCTATGTCATCCATCTCTCCAGCTTTATCAAACCCAATCGGCTGATCAACATTACCATCATCATCCTAGCTTTACACGGTTGAATCTCCAGCAAAACAACACAATCTTCACCCTCTTCTCTTTCTTTAGATCTTATCTCACCATTATCATCCTACAAGCTTAGAGTCCATCCTCCTGTACTTGTTCTTAGATCCCAAAGGAAAACTAGACAAAGCTATTTCCCTATTACCATTTTCTTGGAGACCTACCAATCTCATTTCTCCTCTCTCTGATCTGTGTCTATTTCAGACCAAATTAGGTGAAAATAATACAACAAATCCAGAAATCTTTTATGAGTTTTTTAAATATTGAAACTTAGTGCAAAACCCAGGAATTGGTAGCACCGAATGGAGGGACCCCAGACCCCAAGCGACACCCACTAAGCCAGCCTACCACTGCCATCCTCATTTTATCTCCACTACTTTATCCTTTTACCAACTCCGCCGGGGTTGTTAACAACTCCGCCGGTCCCAAGCCCGGGTTAAGGAGGAGGGTTGTGTGTTAGGTAGCCGACAGCCAACACGTAAAAAAGCCGCTTGGATCCCTTATGAAAATGAATCCTACTTTGAATCGTTTAAATGCTAGGTCGTTCCCCTCAAGTGACGCGTTGCGCCTGCCTCCGGGTGTTTCGAAAAGTGAGCAAGGGGCGCCGCATCGACGCCTGGGTGCGGTGAAAAATGGGCAAAGGTTTCCGCGTTTTTCTGGACGAGCGCGGGTAAAGAAGCTAGTCCAAGACTATAGGTTTAGGATAGCCACTTGGAACATAGGAACCTTAACTGGTAGGACGATGGAATTGGTAGATGTTATGATTAGGAGGAGAGTTAGTATAGCTTGCATACAAGAAACTAAGTGGACGGGAGAGAAAGCTAGGGAAATAGAGGATACTGGTTTTAAACTTTATTATAGTGGTAAGGATAGACGCAGGAATGGGGTAGGAATCATAATTGCCAAGGGTCTTGTGGAAAGTGTGGTGGCGGTCATTAGGAAAGGAGATAGGATTATGCTAGTTAAATTAGTTATTGGAGGGAATATAGTGAACATTATTAGCGCTTACGCCCCTCAAGTAGGGTTAGATGATCAGACTAAGAGGGATTTTTGGGAGCAAATGGATGAGATCTTACAGGAGATACCCGTAGGAGAGAACCTGGTTATAGGTGGAGATTTTAATGGCCATGTGGGCATAGATAAACTAGGTTATGAAAGGGTGCATGGTGGATACGATTTTGGTGACAGAAATGAGGCTGGAGAGAGAATCTTAGATTTTACGTTGGCTTCTGACCTGGTGATGGCCAATACTATGTATAAGAAGAGGGAGGAGCATTTGATAACCTTTAAGAGTGGATTAGTTAAGAGCCAAATAAATTATTTCTTAGTGAGAAAAGTGGACTGCCTAAAATGCAATGATTGTAAGGTGATTCCTGGAGAGAGTCTAGTCTCTCAACATAGGATTTTGATACTAGATTTATGTTTTAG